GAGGTTTCAGACAAGGCGATTCCTTATCGTGCGACTTTTTCAACCTGCTTCTGGAGAAAATAGTTCGAGCTGCAGAACTAAATAGAGATGGTACCATCTTCTATAAGAGTGTACAGCTACTGATATTGATACCATCGGCCTCAACACCCGCTCCGTTAGTTCTGCTTTCTCCAGAATGAACAAGGAAACAACACAATGGGTCTGGCAGTGAACGAGGGCAAGACGAAATATCTCCTGTCATCAAACAAACAGTCGTTGCACTCGCGACTAGGCTCTCACTTCACTGTTGACAGTCATAACTTTGAAGTCGTAGATAACTTCGTCTATCTTGGAACCAGCGTAAACACCACCAACAATGTCGGCCTAGAAATTCAATGCAGAATAACTCTTGCCAACAGGAGCTACTTCGGACTGAGTAGGCAATTGAGAAGCAAAGTCCTCTCTCGACGAACAAAAACCAAACTCTTTAAGTCACTCATGATTCCCGTCCTGCTATATGGTGCAGAGGCCTGGACGATGACAACAACTGATGAGTCGACGTTGCGAGTGTTCGAGAGAAAAGTTCTGCGAAAGATTTATGGTCCTTTACGCGTTGGCCACGGCGACTATCGCACTCGATGGAACGATGAGATATATGACGACATTGACATAGTTCAGCGAATTAAAAGACAGCGGCTAGGCTCCGAATGCACGAAAACAAGAAGCAGAGGAAAAAGAAAACTTCCACTGCTTTGGAAGGAACAGGTGGAAAAGGACCTGGCTACGCTTGGAAAATCCAATTGGCGCCACGTAGCGAAAAGAAGAAACGACTGGCGAGCTGTTGTTCACTCGGCTACAATCACATAAGCGGTGTCTACGCCGATCAAGAAGAAGAGAAGAAGAATATTAGTTTTATGTATACTCTAATTAATGATTTGATTTTGATAGGCAATACTTTTCACATTTTTATTAGCAAGCTTTATTTTACAATTTTCTTGTTTACCATTGCACTTGACATTTAGTGTATTTTTACGTATTAATGTACTTGTTTCAATCTTAATGTAATAAAACTTTCATCTTCATATATTTATGAACGTTCTGCCAGTGGAAAAACTTGTATTTTAAATTTACCTGCGTATTATGTTTTAACTGAATGTTCAAATGGAACATTTACATTCTTGATACACATTTTGATCTTATATATAATATATGCTTAGTGTGCATAATATATGCTATTATCAAAAGTAGTGTTAGCGAAACGTGACCACTTACGTTGTGAAAATGTATACCTTTTAATTTTATATTTTCTGTTTTGGGGTTCTTTTGTTGTTTAAGATGTACGATATCTTTGGTATTGTTTTTTCATGTTGAATCAAAAGGTTTTATTTATAGTTCTGGGATCTTTAACTCAAGAAGAGAATAGCAATTCTTTTTTAAGTTCGGATTGTACGTGATGAGATGCTGTTAAAGTTACTCCTTCATGTCGTTCTGTACATCTTCTTCTTATTGTCATAATGCCTTGATTAGGGATTTCCATATGCATTTGTTGATTGTTATCACATTCTAGATACTATTATATATCATATATCATTGGTTTGCTAAATTATTTGTAAAGCCAACGATTCTGAGAAAATAATTTTATCGAAACGTTTTCATTTTTAGAAGCTTTGAAATCATTTGAGTTCAAATATCATTGAACATACTTACATACTTATTTAGGATCAGCAAAGCCGAAATACTATTAAAAATAAATATCTATTTATATATTCAACGTAAACACAACACATATGTATGTACATAAAGAGCCACATGCTTTTATGTACATGCAATGCGCATTCAATAAAAATAAAAATGTATGGGGACACAAGTCATAAATTTAGATATGAGATAACATTAAACACATGTATTGAACTAAGAACTTAAAGATTCTTTTTTGAGTTCAATGTTTGATGATACAAATCAAACAACATGCTTCATTTTCTAACTGTTTAAAACTGCTACTTCACATGAATTATCCGACGCTGATTTCCAAGGTAACGATTCTCCGAGTTAGTAGAACATTCCTCTAGGTATACTTGGTTAATAAGTGTATATCTTAAATATCCTGCTCTTATTTCTGGAATGATCATATTCCTTTTGTATTTTATTGGAAGTGGATTTAATTTATGTACGTTTGACGGTTCATACGATACTCGTATCAAGGGAATTTTTATGTTTATAACTAGCCGTGAATCAACAATTAAACCTTTAGCAGTAATCGGTTTATAAATATCTTTTAATTCATTAATTCTACTTGTTTCCTCCATTCAATGTTATTTTATTTTATTTATTTTAAATTATACTTCTTCTTCTTAATTGGCGTAATTTTAGATTATTAATGATGACAAATCTGACTTATTTGCATTACCCAATCTACCTATTTCTCGAAGGAACTCATTATTATCCAAAATTGGATTTAAGCCCGCAATGCTACTTTCATGACTAATTTATTTTTTGATTTCGTACTCTGAATTTCTTCTCCAAATTGTAATTCTCGCTGATATCTCATTAACATCTCTTCAGCTTCTTTCATTTCTGATTTTACTAAGTATTCGGGACATTTTTGTTCTCTTATTCTTTTTAAAAATCGCACAATCTAAGCTACTACCCTTATTAATTTGCTTAAACTAGCATATTTTACCTTATCAAAGAAACGTAATTCCTTTGAGGCTGTCACATACGTTGCATCAATTTGAATAATCTTCATTGCCCAGTGATGTTCCTCTTCTCGCAACCATTTTGGACCCTTCCACCATAGATCGTGTTCTATTAGTTTATTCGCCAGTACCCCTCTGGATTGTCCTTTGTTCCAACGTGCTGCCATTTCGCAGCGGAAGCAAGTAATTTGATTTCTTATACTCTTGTTCTGATAAATTACTTTGGGAATTATTTACTCATGCTAACGTTATAGTTGAGTTGAAGCAAATATTTTTACTTCTCTGTTGATAACTGTTTTTATCCTTTGCAACAATTTAGCAAGTAGGTGAGCCGCGCATAGTTCCAGTTTTGGTAAYGTTTTCTTATTTTTAATTGGATTCACTTTAGTTTTACCGGAAACAATTATTATAATTGATCCAACTTTAGCATATACAACTGCTGCATAAGCTTTATCAGAAGCATCTGGGAATCCATGTAGTTCAAATTTAAAGTTGCTTTTAGTTTCGAACCATCTATTTTATTTGTTTTATCTCTTTTATATGGTGCATAACTCTTGCCATTCTTTTGCTAAGTTCTCCTCAAGTAACTCGTCCCTGTTGAGTTTCATCAACCAAAGATTCTGTATAAACAACTTTGCTATAACGGTTATTGGTGAAAGTCATCCCATTGGTTTCGAAATTTTTTAACACGCTTTTACGTTGAAAAATTCGTATTAAATCCAAATGTGTCTTTGGTAGGATCCCATTGAATACCCAATACTTTATTCTTTCGTCTTCTGCTATTTGTATTTATTGGAATTGTTGGTAGAATTTCACTGTTGGTTGACATCCACTCCTTAAATCCACATTTTTTTTGGTTGTTGTGTATATTTTATACTGAGGGGCCTTACATTCATCTATTGAATCTGCTCCCGTCATTAAATTGTCCATGTAGAAGTCGTTTTTAATGATTCTTAAAAGCAAATAGTTGTGGGGTTCGCATAATTTGGCAATTTCTTGTAAAGTTCTCGTTGGCAAGAAAGGAGCTGATGCTGTCCCATATGTAACTGCTTGTAGTATTTATTCTTCTATCGACTCTCCTTTTGTTGCTCTCCACAATATACGTTGGTAATCTTGATCACTATCTGTTATTTTAATTTGTCGAAACATCTTTTCAATATCACTGGCCAAAGTCTCCATTTGATTATAATGTCAAATATATTCTTTTGGAGTCTCGGTCCTATGAAGAGAATGTCACTTAAACTACCACCATTTGTAGTTTTTGCAAACGCATCGAAAACTACTAGTACTTTAGTCGTTAGACTATTTCTCGAATCACTGCTTAATGTGGCAAATAGTATTTTCCGTATCTATTTTCACTTGCGTTTTCAATGTGACCCATTTCTAAATATTCTCTCATAAATTGCACATATTGTTGTCTTAACTCGTCATCCGTAGCGAACCTTTTCTCAATATTAAGAAACCTCACTATAGCTTGTTTGCGAGAATCTCCCAATTCTTTTTCTTGTTTAAAAAGTAGATTGACGACAAATCGATTATTTGCATATCTCAATGTTTTTTTTTTTAATAAATTTGTAAACATTCATCATAATCTGCTGTTAAAATTTTATTGATTTTTCTCGGTTGTTGTAAAATTCCCGACAATATCCAGCCCAATTTCGTAGTTTGATCTAGCATTCGTTTCTTTTTAATTATACATTCTCTAGTATATCGGCATATATGTATGTCACTTCCAATGACGATATCGCTTCGATTAAATTTGTTGAAATTGGGATCAGCTAAAGTTTAGTTTTTCAGTTGTTCTACATCCTATTTAAACGTTTTGTCTGGTTGGGCACTCGCTAATTTCGGCCAAATTAGTGCTTCGACATTGTATGCTTCGTTGCAAAGTAATCTTGCTTTATTTCAATTTTAAATTTGGATACTGCCACTGTGGTATTGCCTAAGCCTTGTAGTCAGTACTTCTCTTTTTTTGATAAATGAAGTATTTCAGCTGAGCTGTTTCGTCGGAAATAGTAGTCTTTTGGGATCCTTGATCGATTAGAGCTCACAGTGTCACGTACTCTCCATTTGCTGCCTTCACTCTGATCTTTGCTGTTTCCGAATGTTTCGTCATCATTGTGGGAGACGTTTTTGTGATATTCTCATCACTTCCTCCTTTTCCTTTTTGGAATTCATTGAAATGCAATGAATTATTATGATTTCTTTCACACTTATTGCACTTCGTCTTATTGTTACATTTACCGTCATAAACGTGACCAAGGCAAATGTAGCATAGCTTATTGTTTGTTATGAATTTCCTTAGATTCATCGTAGTCAATGTCTGGAACTTTCTGCATTCACAAACTTGATGTCCAGGAACCTTGCAGTATGCACAATTTTTTTGTGTCTCATATTGCTTCTGGAGCTTAATATTGCTGCTCTAGAAAACGGAAGACATCATCTAGGCTTTGTATATTCCTACTTTTTTTACGTTTTGCTCGTATAAACGTAGACTTTCTTTGTCTAGTTTTCGAACCACTATCCGAGCTATGATGGCTTGTTCGTCATTTAAACTCAAATTTAGTCCGTTTAAAATATAAATACATTCTTTTGTGGTATCCAAGAGCTGCTTCATGTTTGCTGCACTTTCTCCATTTGCTGTCGGTTGATCAAATAGTCTGTTAACTTATGCTGTAAACTGTAGCTTTCTATTCTACTATCTTTCCTTGAGAAATGCCAAGCGGCTTCATAATTTGTTTCTATTACTGGTAAATGTTAAATTAATCTACCAGCTTCTCCACCTTATGATGTTTTCAATCAAAACATCTTTTCCACTTCAGCAAAGTGCTTCGAATCATGCGACAAACTTTTAAAAAGATCGCGAAAGGACGACCATAGCTTAATTTCACCATAAAATATCGGAATTTTAATTTTCTGCAGTTTGACATTAGAACACATTGTGTGTGTTGTATTATAATTGTTTAATTTCTCCGTTATTATTGCAAGGATAATTTTATAATCTTGCCGAAATTCCTCTATTTGTTCTTCTTCAGTTGTTACTCCTAATTAGATATTTTGAGTTTCAAGCTTGATTTTGAATTCTCTCACTTGCTTGAAAGAATAAAATTCACATGAATTTCATAAAGTTTATTTTTGAGGTTTTTGTCTCGACGTTGATATTTTCTATCAACGCCAGAAGCAACTTCAGGTGGCTCGACCTGAATATCTTGTGGCATAGGTTCTATTTGCCACTTGCTTCTCACTACTTTGGCAGTACTTTGAATTATTAAATTCTGAATAGAATTTTTCATTCTTTGCATTACATGCTCGTTGTAATTCTTCGCAATATATCCTTCTGCTTCTTGACTTTTCTTAGCCATTATTTTATTATGATTGGTTGTACACTCTGTCATAATAGTCTGAATATGATCAATATATTCTAGACATGAAGCGTTTCTTATCTTTCCGCTGAAAATTTTCTGCTTCTCCAACACAGCCAGATTGATGCTTTTAAAACTTTTCCGATTTAACCTTTACCGAAGGTAATTTTATAAATGCGGATAGCCTTTGCTATTCCGGTTTACATTTATTTTTAATTTGCTAAGTCTTTTTCTTTTAAGACTCTTATAGTACTTGCACTTAAGCTCGATTCTTTTTCAAAAAGTAGCTCGAAGGACCAAATGTACAGAAAAACACTTCGTTTTGATCTGTACGCTAAGAGTTAACGTTTGACTTTGAAGTTCTTTATTCAAACTTCTTTCTGCAATAAATTTTTTAAGGGGCTCTACCAGTGTGACACTTTCAAAAAGTTAGCTTTTTTTCTTTTTCGATAGTTTATATTTCCACAAGTATCCTGTGAAATCGACAAAGTCTTTAATAGTTTTTATATGGCAGCTTTCTAAATAGCGACCTATCGGAGGTACTAACATATAATATATAAGTGAAACTTTAAACGCGTTTTTCTCGAAATGGCATTTTTGCTAACATCATAATTCAACGAGAATTTACCGATCGACTTCAAATTATCTTTTTGATTGGTTAAAAATTGTGAATGAAAATCGCATGAAAAAAACGACAATTTTTTCCTAAAAAAAAAAGATTTTTTTTTTCAAAATTACGCCATGTTGTTATTTTTCGATATTTTTCAAAGATAGTACGCCACTATATGGGAAATGTCTTTAAGCTTAATAAACTTCTTGAATTTTTTTGTTTCAGCTACTCATTCAGCCGTAATCATGTCAGCAGGTGGGGCACTTTTTTGGTACCTCCGAAAACAGCATATAACTCCGTTATTTTTCAATATTTTTGTAAGCAAAAAATCATAAAATATAGCTTCGAAACTTTCAATCAAAGGGGGCTCAGGTGTCAAAAAGTCTTAGTTGATACGGATGGAAGATTACATGCTTTTTCACATGATAGATTCCGAAAAGTCATAAACTAGTTTTCGCACCCTTTTCGTAGACCAGGTCACATATATTAAATGAAATATAATCTATGCTCTTTTTATGTTTTTGAGTATACTATGTATATATTATATAATATCGTCGGTATAGACGTGAGCAAACTTTTCGACACATTAATGTGTATATTGTGCACTAGGGTGGGTCGATTCCGGACTTTTTTCGATAAGGGATTTCTAATAGTGCGGAAAAGTTGCCTCAGTACTTCCTGATTCCAATGCAACTTTTTGTTTTGAGATCGGATTGCATSTKCAWCCCCAACTCCGGCCTTGAAATTTCGGAAATTCGCCTAAAATCGTGAAATTGTCTACCTAACGCCTGAAATACGCATCTCATGGCAAAATGTATAAAACAA